GAGTCTTGCTGCGGTAATCATGTATTGAGTAATCCTAATAAGATGTTTTCCTATTTGAAAGTCCCCAACAGGAATAATTCTGGTTTAAATGGAATCTGTATTTGTAGCACACTCTGCATCAACGTTTGTATTTGAATCCAAAATGTCTTTGCAATTTTTTACCACATATGGCAGAATGACCCCTCTTGTTGACTGACTCTGTCCTGAGTCTTGGTGACCCAGCCACCCCAGACTGCAGCTGAGCAAGAGAGGGAATGAAGGGCCCCAACCGGCCACCATGCCGTGACACTGCTAGGGCCCAAAGGCGCCAATCCTGAAGACAGCAGGTCCTGCCCTCCTTCTCTTTCCTGCAGTTCTCGCCCAGGAAGGTACAGTGCGGCTGAGTGAGCTGAACCCCGTGCGGTTGCATTGCCAGGGGAAGGGTTGCTGCATTCCACTTGAATGCAAAGCGCGGAGATTTGGTTCAGTTGGGGCAAAGACGCAGAGCTGGACGAATTGGACGGGCACCCAGTAGGAGACGCGGGTCCACCCCAGGCCCGATCAGGAGTCGCGCCTTCTGCGTTGATCCCAGAAGGGGCGGGGGGCAGAAGCCCCCTTCTCAATGCGGATGGCGATCAGGTGACATTCAGTTGAGTGCAAAGACAGCTCACATTTTCAAGTATAAGTGAGAGAAAAGCAAAAGTTTTTGAACTCTCTTACAAAGCGTCGATGTATCTTTCTCTGCGCCAATTATCCTTCTTCTTGCTAGATGTTCAGCAAAGCTTCTTCCACTCCCCCCTCGATTCCCAGCAAACAGAAAAAAAATGGAAGGCAAGCCTGCTAACAGCCGGGGTCCAGAGTTAGGAAAATCTGAAGTCACGCTGCATGGTCCTGGAGCTCCCTATCTGTGAATTGCAATAAGCATTTCTGTAAGATTCCCCTCCCCAGTAGAAATCCTGTTGTTGTTTTTCATAATACTCCATTTATGGCCCACATCAAGCTCATGCAGGGTGCAAACGATGGGGTAAGAGAGATGCCTAAGTCATTTTTTTCATCCCAGAAATCTGTTGCTGATATGGGCTGAAGGGGTTTAATGTTCCTCGTTTCACTTGAAGTCATTTTATCTGATGTTTGTCAAGGTTGGGCACAGTTTATATATTTTCTGGTGATACCTTTCAAATGTCCCTGTCGTGCATGCTGCCAAGGTCTGTGAGAATGATCTAATCAGCCCCTTCCTCTTGTTTTCCCCCCTCCCCTTGGGACATTTTTCAGGAAGCAAACTGCTGATTTTGGTGCTGTGCTTGAACTTCCCGCCGGAAGTGGAATTGTGTCCTGGAGCATGCGTGTGTTACAGTGAACCCAAAATCACCATCAGCTGCCCGCAGCAAGGGCTTGGCACCATCCCCGTTGAGATCCCAGTACAGACCCAGCGGATTTTCCTGCACAACAACAGAATAAGCCTGATCCAGTCCACCAGCTTCACCTTCTGCCACAATATGTCCATCCTGTGGATCCACTCCAATAACATTAGTCTCATTGAACCCAGGGCATTCTATGGACTCGACAAGTTGGAAGAGCTTGACCTCAGTGACAATGTGAACCTGAAGTCCATCAACCCTTCTACCTTCCAAGGCCTTGTCCACCTGCATACTTTGCACCTTGACCGCTGCGGGCTCCTGGAGCTGTCCACGGGGCTTTTTCGGGGGCTTTTCTCCTTACAGTATCTCTACCTGCAGGACAACAATCTGCAGGAGCTTCTAGATGACACATTTCTGGACCTTGCCAACCTCACCTATCTGTTTTTGCATGGAAACAAGATTAAGAGTTTGTCGGAAAATGTGTTTCGGGGGTTGATGAACCTGGATAGGCTGCTGTTGCATCAGAACAGGGTTAGCGTGGTCCATAACAGGGCATTCCATGACCTTGGTAAAGTAATGACCTTGTACCTTTTTAATAATAACCTGACGGTGCTGACGGGGGAGACCATGGCTCCCCTGGGATCTCTCCAGTACCTCCGACTGAACGGCAACCAGTGGGTGTGTGACTGCCAGGCCCGATCCCTCTGGGATTGGTTTAAACAGTTCAAAGGCTCTTCCTCCGAACTGGAGTGCCACTTACCTGCTCACCTGGCAGGGAGGGACCTCAAGCGCCTGCAGAGCGCGGACCTGGAGGGCTGCATCGACTCCTTCAACCAGATCAGAACGAGCGTGTTCAGCACCAAGACCAGGTCTGGCAAGCTGCCCACGGCCGACCCGCCTCTCGGTCCCCGTGACAACGCACAGAAATGCTGCCAGCCGGAGATGGATAAGTCGTTCATTTACGAAGCCAAAGCCAAGGCGGGCCCTTCTTCACACAGCAACCGGGCTTCCCCTAACAACCCACTCAAGGATAAGGAAAACATGGCCAAAACCAAGCATCAAGCCGAGACGGATCTGCCCAAAAATGGCAGCAACAAGCACTTCAACGACTCGCCCTTTGGCACCTACCCCAGCGCGGCCGGCCCCCCCTTGACCAACTTGAAACCTGAGTTCTTGGGCCCTGTGGAGCCTTCCACCCCCCCAACAAAAAAGAGGCAGGGATGCTCTAGGAGGAACAAGTCCAGGTCGCAGTGCCGCGTGGTGCAGCCGGCTCCCAGTGCCGCCGCCCCCCCAGCCATCCCAAGCCTTTTGCTGCCCCCCCTGATGTGGAGTCTGTTTTGCCTCTGTTGAAATCAGGCCTTTGCTTTCGGGAGGGGCTCTTGGCTTTACGAGAGAAACAGGTTTTTTTGCTTTTGTGTTCTTAAGGAAATGCAAAGCCTCTGCCCCAGATGTGAATAAGAAGGTAAAGCTATGCCCAGAGAAAACGTTGTGATGCTAAACATTTACTGGATGCCTTTATAAAAACTCTCTCTCTCTCTCTCTCACACACACACACAAATCAACAAAACGGTGTAAATAATTTATTTCTTCCTTCTGGAATTTATATGTTTGATTTTGTTTGGTTTATCTTGCCTTTGTCCTTGGAATTACTCTTTTCCCAAAGCAGATGTAGAAAGAAAGAAGAAAAAAGAAAGAAAGAAAGAAAGAAAGAAAGAAAGAAAGAAAGAAAGAAAGAAAGAAAAGAGGTACAACCCCCCCCATCTTTGTAACGTTCCCCCAACCCCAAAAACATTAATTGGAATTTGAAGTCCTTAATGAAATTGCACAATTTCCCCTCTTCTGAGATCACA